TATAACTTTATTTGCATTGTTCTAACAAAGTGATTGCACATTTTATTTATTTTTGTCTGATGGAGCAATCTGGTTTACTTAAAAGTAATTGCAATTTTCTTTATTCTATTATTTGAAAAAGCACAGACGGAGGAGTCACAAAATGTTATTTCAATAAAAATTTAACATGGACCATTTTGTTACAATTTTGTTGGGGTTGCGGTGGGGCATGAACATTTTTCTTCTTCCAAAGTGGGGCACGACAGAAAAAGTTTGAGAACCACTGGTGTAGTGAATAATGAATGAGCCCAAGTACGAGCTACAGTTTGAGTTTTACACAAACACACAGTCGTGCCAGTGGCTTCTATAATCAGACTCGATGTGGTTTACCTTGTGGTTTGATTACTCACCGGCAATCTCAAAAAGATTGGAGAAAAGGATGATGGACTTTGTAGTTTGGTTCCGATCTGACCATAACCCAAAAAGTGGGCCTGTGAGCAGTCCGCTCAGACTGAAGGCAGACAGACCCAGACCCAGGAAGTAAGGGGGGGCCTCCAATATCTGCAGATATCTCCATATTGTAGGCAGAATGACGGCTGAGACCACCAGAGAAGCACGGAGGAGGACGAGTGTGGAGGAAAAGGAGGGGAGATGTGTAAATGACGAGCCTTGTTTACTCACACAGAGAATAAATATATTCTGTGATGACTGCTTGAAGCCAAAATGCCAGGCAGATTCTGCACTAATGAGGCCATTATCTCATGTCCTCAAGTCCATAAAGCTGTAATAATGAACTTACCGTACTCAATGCCGTTCAGCATAAATATCAATCCAATAGTAAGAAAAGTTAGATTCCTCTTTTGGAGATAATCCATTGTGCTCAATGACTTGCTGCCTTTTATACGCCAACCTCTTGCTGCACATGTTCAGAAATGTCGTTCAGCGGCATTATCAGATGACAGGAAACCCTGTGTGTTCAATTAGTCCAACTTGCTGCCCCCAATAGTTGGAGGAATTTGTCCCAACATTGTGAAGGTAATTTTTCGAACTTCTTAGAAACGGAAAACTGGGATCATACGAGGAGGCTTCTCCTGCAGAAGAAGTTTCAGCAGGGTTGAGACCTGAAAACACAGGGCAGAATACATCAAATCAGCAGTAGAAAACAACACAGTCCAGTGAGATTATTGCAGTAGTCCGTTTCCATTAGCCATTTATGTTAAAGAGGAAATTCTCTTTGAGTCACGTCCGCAGCACCACGCTGAGAGCCTCTCGGTCAAGGCAATGTCTCCGGTTACCAGGTGAGGTAAAGTACACTGAGCTTTATACATTTTTAATCTTGTTTTCTTCAGTTTCACCAAAAGCACTTTATTCTCCCACAGCCCAGTGAAGAAGTGTGCCAGACCTATCTGCCCTCTTGCAGGCCGTAGATATGAATAACTTTGCCGTTCACAAACACGATGTCTCACACGCAGTAATACAAACATACAGGGTATAAAATATATCAGATAAACTGCAATTACATTTCCCAGAATAAGATGCCTTATTCCCCTCAAAAAATAATGCTCTTTTGAATTCAACACTGAATAAATTAGGTATGGCACTGCTGTCTGTTTTATTGAATAGTTGGCTCTATTCTCAAGCTACTGTGGTGTTCCCAGCCTTGGGCTTGTTATATTAAACTGAACTGTCACCAAGTTAATACCTCCATATGTTTCTCCAGCAAACCATGAATAATTCAAGGAGTTTGGATTGTTTGAATAACACATATAAACTTGCTCAGCAACTTGCACTCTTGACACACACCGTCGGAACAATGTGAGAGGTTTCCAGCTCGACGGGCCAACAGGATAATAAAATGTTGCAGAACAAGCATGTTTGGGTCAGTATCTGTTGTGTGTGTGTGTGTGTGTGTAAATGTCCGTAAAGATGGTTGATCTTCTACGAACATGTACCGTCATCATGCTGTTTCATTCGGTGTAGAAAGTTAATATTCAAGAAGGGATTCATTCTGCTTTTCTGTGACAAACTGCTACGTGCAGCTGAGCCTCACGGGCCCACTGAGAGGCCATTAGCATCTTACCTGTCTTACTGTACCTGTGGTGGTTCCTATAGAAACACACACGAGGGTGGAACATGTTGTCGCACTCACCTTTGAGCCTTGGTAAACAACAGGAAGCCTCCCAGTGAATAAACTGTAATCTGGTTCACTCACTCACCGTGCATCATCTGAGACACAAGACGATCAGCGGTTGACAGAACAGAAGGACATTTTGACTTTCAGAGAGAGAAGAGCTTGTTAGGCGGATTCACATACTCAGGACTGGGAGGTGGCCGAGACAGAGATAGGAGTGGGTATGTTCTTGAACACAGCTTCTCCCCGGAGGTCCATCCCCATTAACACCAACCTGCAGGGTGCTCGCAGGCGGCAGACACGGTAAGAGAGGACCATCGACCGGGCGGAAAAGTCTTAGAAAACACTGTTGTGACACCATTAGGTGGAGTTTTATAACAAACCTCCACATTCAGATTTCCAGCCCCTGGACACATATGAGCATGCATGACAAATTATATATGTCTGAAAAGCCAGATGCATAGTTTTGAGCAGTTTGAACTGACTAAAATCGATTTATATTGCATTACAGGCTAACAGATTTAGCCTATCAAGGTCAGTTCACATGTCAGAAGAAGAACTACTTTAAAAACTAATGTCCCCTGTGAATCTGGAGGAAGCTATTTGACAAAATATTATCTGATGAGGTCATAGACTTAAATCTTTAGCCACAGGAGCTGCTTCCACTCTGTCCCAAAGTTTAAACTTGCAAATAAATCTCAATCTTTGAACTCGAGCAAACTATGTTTTTTATTTTAAAAAAGGCAAAATCTGCTCGGATACTTTCAGCCCTGAAGGGAATTCTGTAGTTTGAAAGAATAGAACATTTATCAAATGAACCAAATCATTTTCTGCGTCGAACACGAAATTTGATAAGGCATCGAATCAGAAATCTTATTTGAATCACTGTTGGATAAAATCATTACATCCCGTATGTGTGTGTGTGTGTGTGTGTGTGTGTGTGTGTGTGTGTGCGTGCGTGTGTGCATGTGAGAGACACAGAGAGCTCCTTCCCACAGCGACAGCGCAGGAGCAGGAGTGGAGTAGCGGGGTGGATGGGCGTGGGGGGCAGCGAGCTCGGACACAGATGCCGGTGTCGAGTGTCGGGGAGGACAGAGCCGTCCTGCTGGGCTTCGCCATGATGGCCTTCTCTGTGCTCATGTTCTTTGTGGTCGGCATGACTGTGGTCAAACCTTATGTCAACAGGTGCACTCTAGTTTGTCTGCTGATGTTAGAAGATTATGTCATATGATAGACAGTCCTGGGACTTATAGCATGCGATTTTAAACAATACAATTAGGGCTGACAGTTGTTGTCATTATTCATAGTTTGTCAATTGTCACAAGTTTATATGGACTGAAGATATTCAATTTAAAATAATATCAAATGAAAATAGAACATCATTACATTTAGGAAGGAAGCTCTGGCTTGGACAGACCAAACTGTTGCTCTTGTTTTCCAGTAACTGGGAGGAGGAGGCCAGCTGTGTGCTGCTGCAGGCCGACATCCTGGAGGAGTGGGTGGACTGCAGAGGTGTGAGCACTGTGCCTTGCCTCAGGGTTACGGTTAACCTCACAGACTCCAATCAGACGGCTTTTCTCCACTTAGACGAGGAGTCAGTCCTCCTCGCTCCTGAGGTAGGGATTAATGGCTGTAAATTCCAGGTTTTAGGTCCTAACGTACAGCTTTATGAGCCCTGGGTTTGAATCTGCTTCATATCAGGTGTGGCTTGTTGACTGTGAGGGAGGAACACCTGCAGGTTACTCTAAGACCTCGAGGAGAGGGTTTGAGCATTAAGACTTTATGTCTATGTACTACAACATTGTATTAGAACAAATCAAATGTTGCTTGCCCTGGACTCACAGTCATCCATGTTTTCATATTAGACATCTAAGCAGGGACTTGAGAAAGCACCTGTGAGAGAAGTGAAGGCAAAAACAAGATGACAGGATGGAAAACTACTCTGAATCCTGCACCCTTGTGAATAAGCCAGCACATATTATTAGGAGATGCTCTCATGCTGCACTTCTGCTCCATTCAGAACATTTTTTCAGTGATAGTGCAGCACATGGAGGCTAGGAAGGGCTGTTCTTTCTTTTTTTTCAACTGACAAAATACTGAATCAAAAAAGAAACTTGCAGCTCGTCTCACTGATTGCAATCAGTGCCGCAGGCTGTAACAAGCAGGTCACTTGATAAAAATTACACTTGAATCACATCTCTTCTTTCTCAGTGTTTCTACGTACCCAAATGTCAGATGGACAGAACAGAACTTCAGGAGGAAGTCCTGAAAGTGAAAAACGGCTTGGACACTCAGCTGGGGAGCACGTCGTCGTGCGTCACTGACCCGGCAAGGCACCCCAGGGACGTCATCCTGAGCAGGAAGTACACCTTTAAGAAAGCCCTGTATGCATTGCTGTGGCCCTGTCTGATGCTGGGTGGAGGAGCTCTGCTGGTGGGCCTTGTGAAGCTGACACAGTGCTTGGCCCATCTTTCCTCGGAGATATGCAGTGATGCTGCAGTGGGCTGGCTGACGTCAAGATACACTCGGGGCAAGCTGTACGGAATCCTCCGGGTACCCAGCATGCAGTCTCCGTCATGACATATCCAGTGCTTGTGCCAAAAAATGTGAATATGTAACTTGTGTTTAATGTGAACCGGGACAATTATACAGCAATCAGAGTAAGATTTTGATCTTGAGTGTGTCAAACGTCCAAGAAAGAGTAGTCCAAACTGAATGCATACTGCATGCAACAGTAGCTATACATTGTGAGGGCAGCTATTACTGAAGCTTTATCCCACATGAATGTCAATCTTTTCATGAAGCACAACAGTGCAAACGTGCCTTGTAAATTACATAGATTTTGCTTGCAAAACAAGCAATTTAATAAAAATGCCTGGTCATGTATTTAGATAGGGAGAAATGTTTTTATTCAACAGTACAATAAATGAATGCATACAGGTTTCTTTTAATCAGACATTGTCATATGAGGATAACTAAAACAAGTATTTGAAGAGTTTTACATGATATATATACTCAGATGGATATATAACTAACATATGGGTTCTGGGTCTTTTAAAAACATGCAGGGTAGCGTCGTCCTCCTTATTGTGCTTACAGACTTCCACTTAGGGCAAGAGATCTCCACTTGGCGTGAAGATCGTACACCGACAACAGCATCGAGTCCTCCTCCTTCATTCAACAATCCACCTCTGCTTTGTCATTCATATCATTTCAACAACTAGAAGCTGTCTACTGGGTTTTGTATGAGGATGGTGCACATTATGCATGATTCCGGCTTTTTTTTTTTTTTTTTTTTTGTTTTTTGGTTAGCAGTTACATTTACGAGTTTGCTTACATTTAAAAATACAAAAATATATTACCTCTGTAGTAATTCAAGGAAAGCATTTGCACGTGTAGTAGCAGTTATCAGCATCTGTTAACTTCATTGTGACTTTGTTGTACCTCACAAGTAACAAGGTCATTTCTGTACATGAAATTCAAGTAAACAACATCAGGTCAAACAAACAAAAAAAAAAAAAAAAAAAAGTAGATACTCGAGGACCTCATGCATGATGCAGTGTGAGAAGAAGAAACAATTACAAAGGGAAATAGCATGATTTAGAGAGTTCTTCAATAAAGTTCATGGGGTCTAGTTTTCTCTGTTTGGGTCCGGCCCACTGCTCTGTCGCCTGTACAGAAGCAAATCTCACTCGGATCGGTTTCCTGGGCGTTTTATAAGTCCGTAGCCAGGTACAGAAAACAAAAAGTGGACTTTCAGACAGACTTGAGTGTCCAGGAAACCGCCATGTTGTGTATCATTTGGTAAAGCTGGAACATTTACTGACCTCTTACGTATGCGTCTGTGTGCAGCGAGCGAACCTGCAAAGACTATTCTTCCACACATAAGGGTGACAATCATCGGAGAGAAGAGGGAAGAAGACACTTGGAAGGTTGACAAAAAAAATTCACTTCGGTTACTTTTCTTTACCTGGACGTTACGATCTGGGACCATATGGCAAAAAGTGAGGAGAGCATCTGTCTTCAATGACCTGTCAAATGTGTGACTGAGAACAAGAAGACAGGAGCAAAACTCGACTGATCAAACATTATACAGATGGCTTAGATTGAAGCTCCAGATATAAACCTGGTGAGGAGAAGCAAAAAGGCAGGGTCCAAAGGCGTTTCTCACAGTTCTTTTTGTTGGGAAGAAGTAGAGGATTCTGTTACAGTGCAGCATTTTGTTTTTTTTGTTGTCCTCTTCCATGTAATGTCTGTACAAAGTTCACTGACACACTTGTCTGTGTGAGCATGTCGGGGGGGGAGATGAATGTCTCTCTCTTGTCCTACTCTGACATCAACTTTTTCCTTTTTTTCCTGCAGTCGACAGTACATATTAGGAATCACAACTTGCATAGTGTAACAGCACAGCACACAAAAGGAACCCTGCACATCCCACATCCCCCCCCCCCCCCACCGTTTCTTGCCTTTCATCAGCCAATTCAGAACATCTTCAACAGGTCGACCAGCAGAAAGGTTTTCTCCGGTCCGTCTGTGTTCCGTCTGTGTTCCGACTGCGCGGGGTGGACATCAGACACAAAATAATACTGATAGACGAAACGAAACACAAACAAATACTGCAGAGATCAGTGCTATGAGGACAGACAAGAGACTTAGAATAGCCGTGACTATTTTTTTTTTTCTTCTTTTTTTTTTTTTTTTTTTTACAATAAGACAGCTAAATAGTGGGGTTACACATCTAGTACTTTGGCTCAGTAGAAAATAGACTCAAAAAGGAATATGTGCACCGAATGCATACAAGTCTATGGATATACCGCTGTACAAAAGTCAGTTATCTGGCGTTGTTTCTAAACTGAGGACACGTCATCTGTAGGCTACAAATAAGTTGCTATTTCAGTTAGCGTTACGTGTTAAATGCTATCTAAGTGTAACAACATGTCCCCCTATCAGTTCCGCAGTTGCTTTTCATGATTGTAAAGAGGTGATCATGATTTTGTGGTCACCCGCCAGGCCTCTCATTGTCCCTTTCCTTCTGTCTCAGCTAGCCTGGCTGTGTGTGCCGATATCTCCCCCGCCTTCATCAGTTTAAAATAGGTAGTGGAAAAAGAAGCAGCGAGTTCACCTTTAGAAAAACAGTCTGTGCTTCATGGTACACCGCTTCATGATGTTGCTTTCTTAATGCTGATGGTTGTAGATGTACTGAAAGGAATAATGAATTTAAAAAAATCTAGTAGTATAATAGATAGTCTGTTCACACAAAAGAAGGCAAATGTTTTGTCGAGGTCCATTACACTTGCTTAGTTCCTATGAAGAAGACTGATGAAATATGACGTCATCTGAAGTTCATAGTGCAGGGAGAGAGAGAAAAGTCAGAAACCTGTAGAAACAGGAGCATTTAGGCATTTTGTCCCTGAAATAGGCCCTTCTAAGCACCCTTATGTTGTGGTGCTCTGGCAGGTAATGTTTCAGAGTCACACGCTGGCAGAAGTATTACCAGGCCTTAGGGTGTTTGGGGAAAACACCTCGCTCGCTTCTCAATATTCTTTTGGTTCTTAGTGTGCTGTTGTTGCCACGGTCCTTTTTACTCCTCTCATGTATTAGTCATCATTTCAGTTCATGGCATGCTGGCGGATTGTGTGGAAGATCCAGTCCATCTTGGTAGTCCAGCCGCCGTGGTGAGCGTCGTTCATCTGCTTCATGAAGTAGTCCAGGGCCTCCTGCTCCGTCTTGTCCAAGGCCAGCGTCTTTCTGATGTAAGCGATGTCGTCAAACGACTGCAGCTCGGGCATCCCTGAGCCCAGCATCATGGAGAAGAGGTTGATGAAGAGGTTGGCATGCTGCCGGATTGCCAGGTACGCCTTGTAACACATCTCCTGGAACCTGAGGGAGGAGAAAGAAAAAAGAAAATACAACAAGGGATACAAGCATGGAAGAAAAGACAAGTGAGTGATATTCTACAAATACCAGAGAAAACAAACTTTTGCTGCCGGTACCTTTCAAACTCCCTTGTTTTGGTGCACTCTTGAGTTCCTTTGCTGATAACGATCAAGAAGTCCTGTGTGAGCACAAAGGGAACGCGTTCTCTCTTGTAGCCAAACTTCTTCTTTTTGTGGTCGAGGAAATGGCCAAAGTCTATGTGGAACAGCTGTGAAAAGTAAATATGAATTAGCTCATTTTTTTTAAAGAGAGAAACGGTAAGTACACATGTATACACACAGAAAAGGAATCCTAATGCAATCCTTACCTGTCCATCATCTTTGACCATGATGTTGCTGTTGTGTCTGTCCCCTATGCCCAGGATAAATGTGGCTACACAGTAGCCTGCACACGACCGCGTGAACAGATCTATGGCCTGGTCATACCTGAGAAATCAAACAAATGGAAAATAATAACAATTCAGTGGCTGTATGGAAGTATTTCCATTTTTTAAAAATGTGTTTTTAGACAGTAAGTCTTCACATTAGTCTTTATATTATCACTAACACCCCGTCGACACCCTACATGATCAGGAAAAGCTGTATAAATCACTGTTTTTGCCACTCACATCTCTCCCTTGTTCTTATCCTTGAGCCACTGATGCAGTGTGTGGCTGTTGAACTGCAGTGCCCCCTTCAGGCCTCCTTTACACTGGATCTGCATGATGGTGTGAGAGTTCCTCACCACCTCGATCAAACCCACACAGTCACCGATTGACAGACAACCGTACGGCAGCATCCTGGGGAGCATAAAGGGAGGCAGAAATAATTAGGGCAGCAGTGACGGACTTCATATTAAATGACTTGGGGTGGCTTGCAGGGGTTGCCACTAATCTGCATTCGGGTATGAGTGCAGAACATGAAAGCATCCAGCGCCTGTTAATATGCACCTGCATCCTTGCTGTCATGGTGAAGTGAGGAGCCTACCTGAGATCAAGGCCTTGGTTCTGCCAGATGTTCTCCATTATCCTAATGATCTGCAGCGTCAGCATGTCCTGCCTCAGATCTGCGGAGGCAGAGAGACACGAGGAGGTGGGTGACAGTAAGGTGAATATTAGCTGCTGTGCTGCTCTTTGATCAACTCCACGATGCATTATGGAGCAGAGCCGTCGAAGTCAATTTTGCCACAGACGGTGCAGCAAAATGCTCAAGCCGCTGCGCTGAAGTGTGATTCCAATAATGTGGCTTGTTCTTTCAGAATTCGATGTAAAGAACAGGGATAGGGTTGTGTTTGTGTGCCATCATATGCCCGACAGGCTTAGAATGAATTATGCTGCATGCTCAGCAAGAGCTTTTTCAAGTCTGTGTGTGTGTGTGTGTGTGTGTGTGTGTGTGTGTGTGTGTGTGTGTGTGTGTGTGTGTGTGTGTGTGCGCGCGCGCGTGCTGATACACAGCACAGGTGGGCAAATAGAGACACAGGGGAAAAACACAGAGACAAAACTCACCATCTCCATTTTTGAAGATGATTTCGTTGTTCTGAAAGAGCAGCTCTGACATCATATCTGGGTTTTCCCAGTTCAGCCATAGCGGTCGCTTGGCTGATGACATCATCCTGCATTCCTCCAGGCTGAAACAGAGACAGGGATATGTTTGAGGAGGAAATGTGCCTATGCTCCCGAGTCCTGACTCAAAACAATATACACATTATTTCATCCCAAGCGAGTCATGTGGACCGAGTTTGCTGTGAAACGAGGCGGCGCTTCAGGAGCATGGAGTTCCTAATGTCCCTAAATATACTCTATATACACACGAAACACTGGCATTGTGTTTACATAATAACATTTTAAGCCTTTGAGGGGAAAAGGCAAAAGCAACACCTGCAAAGGAAAGTAATATTCAATGCTATTTTTCAGAGGAGGGAGTTAGATGAGAGCGCTGATGTACCGGATGTTTCCCAGCTGGTGTGCCGGATTCAGTGGAGAGGTGAAGTTCTGCAGGGCATCCATGTAATCAGGCCTTCTCATCTGCTCCACCAGAAACTTCATTTGAACCTTAAAGAAGAGAAACCATCGTATGAGTTAATCAAACAGTAGTTTCAGACAGCTGGCGAGTCCCTCGACCTGGTAGATGTACGGTGAGTACAGTCTGCCTGCTGCTGGTTTTCAACAACTAAAGGATGAACCTTCACAATGAGCCGAGTGCAGCTTCTACGAGCACCAGTCTTGTGCTGTGTGGCTGGGTGCTGGTCGTTACATCTCTGATAAAGGCTATCACTGGGTTGATAATGGTGCATTAAGATGTTAAGTTAATTTGCTAGTTAGCTAGCTAACCAATGCATTCGCTTAGAAGCCATCACCAGGATGATTGACACTATATTTAGTGGCCACAACCTCCTTCTTGTAGCCAGCACTTAAATATTAAACTGAACATTATTTGTGAGCTAGCGAACACAGTTTTTAAATGAGTACAATTCAGACGGTTTACTATGTCATATGTCTAGAAATATTTGAATACTGTTCATTTTTAAATAGTGGCGTATTTAAGTGAAGGCCATTATTTGCTTTATTTGAGTGCAATTATAAGAGATAGACATTTTTGCCTGATGTACCGTTTTAAAAGTAATTCCATCGTATTCTAATAAGGAACAATAATTTTTTTGCGGCACTTTTCACTTCCTTAAAAGGCTTTTACTGTGAAACATCTACTGTTGACCTTCAATAACAGCAGCTGAACATCAACAATGTTCAGGAAAATACAGTCAAGCTGAAATAAACAGAAAATAAATAAATAATTTATATATATATATATATATATATATGCTTAGAGTATGATTGACATTATTATTAAACATATCACAATTGATGCCAGTTTGTATTTAAGAACATTCTAAATTAATACATGGCTATTATAGCAGCAAGCAACTGAAAAAGCAAATATCCAAACTATCATTCTACAGTATTGTACTGTGGCCTGATTGGTCCAGATGTTGGTAAGATTAAACTCAATGATTCAGTGAATCACAATTAACAGCTGCCGGCTGTCGGATTACCTTCTGTGCCTCATCCTTTTTCTCCTGTTTGAGGAGGTCAGTGAGATTGATGAGTTTCTCCATGGCCTCCACCTGTCTGCTCAGGTGCTTCAGATACATGCCACAAGCCCGGCAGTACGACTCCAACAGCAGCCCAAACCGCTGGCTCACTGTCTTGTTGTGCATCTCTGACCTACACAAATGTAGGCAAGAGAAGAAGAAAAAATGAAGAGGCTGCCTGTGTGCTGATGGGAAATGTGTCCAGCCTCAGCTGTTTTCACATAACTTTCTTGCCAACCCTTAAAAGGGAAACTTTGCAGATTTTCAACCAGCTTTGTATCATTGCTATGTGGGTGGTATGTGAAAATGTTCGGCTTTCCTTCGTGTTACCGGCTCCCGGAGCTGCCAGCTCGTTTGCCAACGTGTGTCTGCCGCTTGCTTGAAACGCGTCATCCGGTGGCATTGCAACGATAGAAAGCTGCTTGAAAATTGGCAACGTTTTCCCCCGTAAGCGGCATTCAAACATCAGTTTAACCTTTCAAGTCACATACAAACGGCACCACAAATTCTTGAAAGAAGACCTGTTTAAATTAACTCACTTCAAATGCCAGAAGAAAAAATGTCCTATCCTCTGATTGGTTAATGCCCTTTTCAGCAAGAAGCGTGCCAGTGGGTTATCAAGGTACTGCTCATACTTAAGAACCTGGGCACAAAAAAAACATAGAAAATACCAAAAAAACGTGTTATTTACCTAAAAACACTACTACACTATATGACACTGAAGCATCAACTGAACCACACACCTGAACCAGTTGAATAAGGTACTGTGAGAGTTTGTCATCAGTTAAGTATTTCTCAAGGCACTTTACGGCAAACTCTCTGATCATAGGATCAGGGAAGTTGCAATCCAACAACTCCATGGCTTGCTCTGGCTTGATAGCAGGCCAGTCCTTCAGGAGGCAATACATCTGAAATGAAAAAATTAAAAATAAAGATAGATACACAGTATATGTTTTTTTTTACCATTCTTGCATTTTTAAACAACCCTTACAATACATGAGACAGTGTGTTTGATCTGTGTAAATATCAGCTGAGGCGCATTAGTATAACTAAGTCAGGCACACACCCATTTCCCAAATAATGTCCTTCATTATAAAGGTGTGTCAGCAGTGGAAACCTGAGCTTACCTGAGCAATCTCATCTCTAGAGTTCCATTTCACAGCCAGGAGGATCTTGGGAAGGATCTCTGGCATGTTGACGCAGTCTTGTCTGAAATTGTTTGGGGAGAGAACAACTTAGTACAATGACTTTTATGTAAAACGTAATGGCTTTGACCCCTCAGAAACCCCATATATCGGCATACAAGTGCACAGCCATTACCTGTGTCTCCATAGAAAGTCTTTTTCCTGCTCAGTGATTTCAGACAGCGCATCTCTGTTACACACCTGTCGTAGCTGCTCATTGTCAGTGTCGGTCAGAGGGTTGTCACGCGCCAGTCTGTTACTCTAAGACACCATATAACACATGCAACAGAGCAAATGAAAACTGAACAATGCCAGTGCCGTATTGTGTCACACAGAACTGAATTAAAAGGAAGTTACTGTCTGTGGTGAGAGTGAACAACAATGTGGCGGCTGCTCAGAAGGATTATCAGATCTCAGTTAAACAAAACACACACAAAATGAATTCTCGTTATCTTACCAAACCGGTGTGGCAGTAATTAAAGCCAAGCTCTCTGGAGATATTCCAGTTTGCATGGTCCTCAATGATGGTCATTTCAGGGTACTTGACAGGGCAACTGAAATAGTCAAACTCCAGCTCCAGACAAGGGGTTTCCTGCAGCATTAGAAAGTGGTGGAAAAGGGAAAGGTGTTTACTGCGATCAAAGAAAGGTGCCTGTGTCAATGAGTATTTAATTAGGCGGGATAAAAGGCTTGAATCCGGCTTAAATCCGGCTCTGAAAATCTACAGGTCGTCACCAGCTCGATTCAAAGTGGGTCATGAGGCTTAGGGGTCAGTCGCAGGCATGAGCATAATACGAAGTTGAAAAGATTTGAAAAGATAACTGACACAAACAAACCTCTAAAGGAGAGCAACTGTCCGTTTACGTTTGAGATCTGCCCATCAAGCCGCTCTGTAAAGAAAGATGAGACACTCACCTTGTTGGGGTTAGAGCCTGTGACGCCGATAGGGTTGAGCAGGTCTTCCAGGCCGTGTGGGACAGGCCATAGGTTGAGCGCCATCTTCCCTGATACTAGTGTGTGGGTGTAGTCAAACAGGTTAATGTTGCCCCAGGCGAGAGGACAGTGCTCCTGTAGGAAAATACCAGAAAGATGATGCATATGAAAATGATTAGAGAGGCAACCACTCGAGGCTATGGAACGGACGGGATCCGTTTATTTCCCATGATTATATTAGCTGACTGTGAGAACGGCTTTAATTCAAATAGGAATCAAATGAGAATAGATTTGAAAATGTACTATCCTCTAAGGTTTTCGCCATTCAATTCATTAACGTGCCGTTATGACCTTTATATAAAGTTGTTTTCCTAGTTAGTGGCAGAGACAACCATTACAGCGCTGGACTCAAATTACCTAACCCTGCACGAGGAGATTCACAGGAAAACGATGTCTGTATGTAATCTAGGGTTACTGTTCTACCGTATTGATATCAGCCTTACTGTTTACTGTTAACTCTCCCACTGCCGTGTCAAAGCTGTATTAAGTTCCTGCTCATACAAACCAAACAGTTCCTACTCCTGCTGCTTCACAAGTGTTCAGCTGGTGAAACTCACTGCAGTGGCTTTTATTGTGAAGTGCTCGGACACAGGAAACGCAATGTATTTGTCCCTAAGCTTATCGTTTTTGAAAACTGCGTCTACGGAACATGACATTGTCATTTTTGGTACTTTTAGACGGCCAATCAGCTTAATCTATTGCAGAAAGTATTGAAACAAGAGGGAGCAACCACATCAGATCACAGCTTCTCATGGCATGATGGAAGGACAATTGACTTTGTTATTACAACATTGCTAGTTTGTTTGGCTGCACTGAAAGCAGATACACCAGTTGCTTTTTTGACATACTTCTTGCGAAGTAGCTGCTCGAGTAGTGTTTAACTTTAACAGTAGCTGACCTCTTTAGCTCCCTTCCTTCCTTTCACAGAGCAGATGGAGAGGCAGAGTCGGGCAGCACGGGGGATGTCTGGAATGTACATGTCGTAGTTCAGCCACTCGTTCCACCTGGAATAAACAGGGAAGGCTCCATTAACAAATCAATCTCACTACGGTCACACGGCTCAGTGAGAGCCCAGAGTATAGAACGCCAGCCTTCACTGCGTACTACCTGGGGTTTGAGCAGGGCACGCGCAGGGTGTTGACGTTGTCACACAGCTGCTCTCCACCGTGGTATATCCCAGTCCTGACGTAGATCTAGAGCAGCCACAAGAACAACCGGTAAAGATATCGTTCACCGCATGTCTGACCGCATGAAGCGAAGAACACTGTGCTCCATCTTCTAAGAACCTCGAGGTAGTGGAGCCGCGAGATTACAGTCAGAATGTATTTGTGTCAAACCAGAACAAAGCGGAGAAGCTATAAATAAAACAAGGTGAAGCAGTCATAGCACCACACCGGTGTACCTTGTCAATGTCTCTGATGTTGACATTGACGTAAGTGGCGCACAGTATCCTGATCCTCAGCGTCCCGTTGATAGTCCAGAGAGACTTGGTGGCTGTTTCCCCATTCATGTAGGGCGTTGCTGTGGATATTCGCCTTGCATACGACGGCATAGTGAAGTTGTCAATGGGCAGCTGGGAATACAGGCTGTCTTTTGCCATTAGCATCAAGTTTGGCATCCGTCCCAACATGATACAGCTGCGCACATACTGTCAAGGACACAGAATATGACATTTTGAAGCAGCCATGATTGTGACATTTGGAAGCGATTCATGCGGTTTGACATTTTGAGGCCCTTTCATACAATTTCTAGGTTTATCAACATGTAAATTATTGGATGTTACAAGTACAACTCAGCAGTAACAGAGACATTCAGTACTTAGTACTTATATAGCAAGATGTATACAGTCTATTCTTGAATCAGCACATTTTACAGGCATCACATTTTCTCGTAAATTTCGTCTCATGTCATAAATGTCAAGAACATTTGTGTTGGATGATAATTTGATGTGAAATGGATCTCTCCCCCACTAAGTACAATAGTATCAGACGCAGCACATGTAAGATTAAACTAGATTACCTTGTACTGACTCAGAGGATATTTCTCCAGTAAGTACTCGTCACAGCCACAGACTTTGAGGATGTACTTTCCCTGATACTCCTGTACACACATCTTTAACTGCTCCTGGGAGAGCAGCATGCTACGTGTCTTCTTACGGATGGCTTCGGCAATCACCTGCTCTGGCACATAGTCATGGTTGATCTTAAGGGTGTACTTCTGTTTGTCATTGCTGGGTGATACAATAACCCATATGACCACAATGATTTGACCTGAGGGAAAGAGCACAAAGGTTTAATTGATATCATGTTATGTGTGCAGAGAAGGAGCAAACAACACAACTGTAACATGTTTGCATAATACATTTTGAGCCAAAAGAAAAATGCCCCACCTTTATCTAGCTTGTTATAGATGTGCCGGGGAAGTTCTACAGAAGATTCTACATTGGGAGGATAGACGTACAAAGCTCTGCTGTGGGGTCCGTTAGTGTCTCTAAGGTCCACAGCCTCTTTGCAAACATTTAAAATGTTCCTTCTGAAGTCCTGCACTTCCGAGTCTTTCACCAAATCAAACTCACATATAGGCATTCCAATGGCAAAACCTGAAAGGAAGAACAAGCGCTTGATAAACATTCAACTTTTTTTCGGCATTTTTCATGACGTGAACAACAGTAAAACAGTATTAGGTTAATTCCCCTGACTGTGGGTAATGACAACGCCAAGGGCAACACACAGTACAATAATGTATAGTACAGTGGATTGTTATGCAACTGCATAATAGTTCATGAACCATACCTATCTCTCTGTTGAGAATTTTCTCTTCTCTGTTGCCTACTGGCTCAATGACTTTGAGGAAGGCCTGGAAGAGCCGAAGATCGCACAACCTCCTGGTCTCATCGTAAAACTCCTCCCGCTCTGCCTCCTGGGTGACACTGACAAAGATGTAGGAGCTCTCCTCCTGCAGCAGATGGTAAAGAGGGTACTTCCTGGCCTCTTTGAAAAGATCATGCTTGACTGTAATCAGCGTGGCCTCCCGGAGGCACTCCAACGTGAGAATCATGCCATTTGGCAGAAGGCAGTCCACTAGGATGCTGGGGGGCATCAAGTGCATCCCCCATAGTTCTCCCGAGGAAGGCCTTGGAGGCATGGTCGTGCCAACAAATCTGCTATTTTCAGAGTCCACTAATTATCACATGTGCAATGTCAACCAACTGCGAGAAAGAAGGAAACGGGATTATATAAGAATCACTGACCTGTGCACAATAATGCAGAGCGCTTGTGGTAAACAATTGACTTAAGCAATGCTAGAGCTGCATAGTGACCGCATATAAATATGCTAAATATACACTTGTGGGGGTACCCCAATGTATCATGGGTTGCCAAAAAAATTATATAAAATGCAGTAACAGCATAACAGGGAATGTCTGTAGCACCACTCTATATTTCTTCGTTAAGTGTTTGTGAGCCGACTATATTGCACAAAGCCGTTATGTGGAGTTACTTTCGATCAGTTTGACAGCGGACACATTTATAGCCACTTAGCTGGCTAACTGTAACGATGTCACAAGCAGTAATTTAAGATGTCAATGCACACTTTCGTAAATCATTATAGCGTTAGCAAGTAACGTTAGCTTAACCTAACGACAACATAACGTGTCATCACATCAGACAGAAATACAAATCTATGAAAATAACTTTCGCTTAAGTGAGTGGGTGTTAAAATAACTCGTGCTAACTTAAAGAGGGCAGCACATTAACTGATAAATGTCCAGTGATGTCGAATGGAAGAACTTCAAACACCATGTAAACAAACACGTTTGCTAACAAGCATTAGCATTACACACACATTAGTTAGTTATAGCTTGTAGCCTGGGCTTGACAGTCACCTCGACTAGTTCGCGTTGTGCTACTCGGTGGATCAACATTAGGTGTTGTTTCTTAGCTCGCTAGGAAACCATGCTAGCCAAGTTCTCTAAGCAGATCAATGTCATCTAACGCTACAATATGAACACCTCGACTGATACACAAGCTACTGTTAAGTCTGGCGTAGTTTGTCGCGTGGGTAACTGGGTAACTTTAGCTGTTTAGGATAACAGTAAAAGCGAACACACAACAAAACACGTCAGAAACAAACACAAAGCTAACTACCTGTGTCCGATAGCTAACGCCAACCGGTTAGCCGCAAAGCTAGTCTGCCAGTACACCCATTAGCAGCTGCTAGCTGAGTAAATCCCATCCGTGCCCGCTCGGCAAGTCTCAAGCAGCGGTGCTAGCTCTAGCTTGTTAGTCCATCCAAACAATGACACTGAGGGGTCGGGACAGACCCGGTGTAAGTGGAGATACGACGCTCCCAGTGATCGTGTCAATATGCTGTAGTGGAATAAGTCTATAATGCTTCATTATGTTCTTCATCGTGCTGTCACGAAAATAAACTGAACAGTTTGGTAGCACGCTAGCTCCACATAGCTAACGGTAGCCTGTTCGAAGGCTGCTAGCAAGCTCATCATCACGGACCGCCCTCCCACACAGAGTGAGCGAGCTGGTGGAGAAAAGCGGTTTGTCATGAGAGGAGGCTGGGAGCGCAGACCGCTTGTTCACTGTTTACTTCAATAGGACATTAAATGCCTCTTAAGAAATGCAACTACAATGAGAAAAAAACTCTGTTGCCAGAGACAGTCATATGCAGAGCCGTCAGAACAAGCATGTGTGTGTAGGGCGCCCCCCCCCAAAAAAAGGTCGGATGAGGAAAAGTATTATAGTTGCATGATTCATACATTTTATTGCATACTTTGTTTTATTGCTTAAACTCAGGACATTATGTATTCTCTTTACCACTGCATAATATTTCAATGGAATTCAGTTGGACGTCATAAGCAACATAAAACATAATGCCCATTGGTCTGAACTTGATTACTTCATCCATGCTTTTCCAAACAGGAATATTCTCCAGAAATCTTGGCCACCACCAATCTTGGTCAGCAGCAGGCCCTATGTGTGTTTTGATGGAGATAAAACCTTTTGGAGCCCTTTCATGTCTTCAAAATAAGCAAACTAATGTAAGAAGATTGTGCAGCCTTGGCAGAAGTGCTCTCTGTGTGGTTTCTAGGGCAAAAACATCCTGGGAAGATGATGTTTTATTTCTGCTGTGGGGCCGCAGTGTGTGACCATATCGCTTAGTCACTGCTTCTATTATTTTATTGTTTTGATGTTTATTTATGAGGTAACCTGTAGGTGGATGCAGTACTTTTTGTGTTGAAGAGTGAACTGGAATCTGAGATCAGAATTTGTTTTTTCTTTTTTGGTAAACTTACATTGTGTAATAATGTCTCAATCACTTCGATTTTTAAAGTGTAATTATGTGTTTTGTGTTGTATGGTGAGCTAAATATCCAGAACGTTTTTTAAAAAGTCATGGCAGACAAAAAAATCATGTCAGGTCAGGTTATGAACACCTTATGTTCATAATGAGAGACCAACACATATAATTTGGTTGCTGAGATAACAAATAAGAACATATTACTGTCCTGTAATCGCATGTGATCATCAAAATATAGAAACGTTGTTCCTCAACATTAACAATGCATATAGAAAACATTTTAGACAGACTGCAGTGTTTTCTCCTGTCAGCTTGAGCACAGGTTGGTATTGTCACTATGCAAGCACATGTTCATAACATACCATATTTGAGATTCAAAATGTAACAAACTCTTGTAAACACGTATACCCGTAAATCATTTTACAATACTTTAACATCACGCATATCCAGTCATAGATTTCCCTGTATAACAGCCAGTTACATGTCTAACAGTTTCCTCCTTGGAACATTCAGTTCACTTTCATAAGCAGTCACATCCTGGATCTGGAGAGAGAGCCAGCTGTTCCTGATGACGAAGAGGAAAGCAAGAGCTCACAGCAAGGTGGTTTGGTAGACATTCCCTGTCAGATATGTCAATCACCAAACCAGCATAAGCTTCCACTGCTGCTGCACGTATTTCACCTCTTGATCTTCCCAATCTCTTCGCACAGTCTGGAGAGGTACTGCGTGAGCTTCACCATCACGATAATGAGGGCCCCTCCTGCGAGCATGCAGGAGGGCCAGAGCAGCGAGTGGAAGACGACTCTGTGGTCGTACAGCCTCGTCAGGAGAACGGTCTCCTGCTGCTCACTGGGGTCGTAGTAACAGGGGACCTGCTGGTTCACCTTCAGACGCTCGGAGACATTCGTGATTATGACGTGCATGGCCACGCTGTCCTTCTGGCACCTGGGCACGTAGACACACTGCAAGGACAGGATTGTCATACGTTTTGTTTTGGGGATGGCTGCTGAGCTTCTTGTAAATCACAACATTGAATACACCACCCTTCATGTATCATCTTTCAGCTTGACCAGGAAGAAATCCTATCGACTAACATTTTTCTGAATCGGGAGCAGAGTAAGCTACAATCAGGCCAACGTCTGACAGTCGCTTTCAACATTTGAGACCGTTCAGTAATTTTTAGTGTTTCCCCTTCTGGCGTTGTACTCACTTCAGAGCTGGTGTCCTGGGTCTCCTCATTGTGTGATAAACGGCTGACACGGCCCGTGTTATTGACGCTCACGTAGACCTGCAGACAGGGGTATCTGGAGACTCTCCAGCAGTCTGACCCACAGTTGTAGGAACAGTTCATGTCTGCTGTGACCGTGGAGTTGAGTACAACACACCAACCCTCCTCTGTCCACACGCTGTGTTGACATTTAAATGAAGATCCAATTTAATGCAAAAAAAAAACTAAAAAGGAGAAAACATTTGGGGGATCTGATGGTATGAAATCGGCTTGAGGTGTAATTTGTTCCTGAAAATCGAGTATTCATTTTTGCAATTTTCAGGTTGAGAGAGCACTGAAAGCAGTTTGTCAACAAGCACATCTGATGAATTAAACATGTTTCCTCCAGAAATATCGGTTAACTCCTTTATAGGGGGTAAAAAATATTATTCAAACACCAGGCCTGTACCTGTCGGCATAGGAGCGTAATATCGTGATCCCCAGGACAAAGTACATCATGACTGAAGAGAGGATCATCCCGAGTCCCAGGAAAATGGCACGATCTTCACCCGGCTTTAGAGCTGTCACTGTCTTCTTCTTGTCCAATAAATCTACGTCACGAAATTTCTGATAGATTGACCTAATGATGAGGGAAATGAGAAGACCTTATTTCTTTCTAGCTACAATACAAATATTACAAAGAGTGTCTCCCATGGCCATGGATGCACTCTTTTTCTCCTTTGCAATTTAAGTCATTTTTTATTAAGCCTGAATTGGTATGAACCTGTTACCACCTTTCATTTCCTCGGCCTGCTCCTGCTGTATTTCTGGCCCCCGCCACGAAAAACATCTTTCTTGATGATCCACGTCCTCCTTTGCTTGCTGAGGTGGAACGGAAGGATTGCTGAAATGACCTGTGAATTACAGCCAGTTTGTTGCCATGTTTAAACATTCACCACCATGGATCATAAACACAACAAAAATCTCAAGTCTCCAGTTACAAAGCAAATATGTCAGACGACAAATCATACTGTACCTTTGGTGCATTGTTGCTGTCAAACTCACTTATTTTGTAAATATGTCCAGTTTTGTACAAAAGCACTATGAAGTATATGGCTCTCCTGGTAACCCTGCAGAGAGCAGTTTCTGCTTATCTGAGTAGTATGCAGTGTGGGGACAGGAAGCACCTCTGATATAGTGGTCTCCACCAGGTAAACATCTCATTTTGAACACAAAGAAACGCTACAAAGGGTAAACAAGATGACAGATGAAAGGTGTTAATGCTGATGAGGCACTCATGAACCTACCTGTTGTATCCTGAACACTTCTGCTGTCAACACAAAGTCATTGGGTCCTCTCTTGGCACAACAACAACACCTCGCATGTGCCTCCTCTTGCTCTCTGCTGGTCTATGCCATTTGCAGAAAATACAGAATTCAGCGTTTTACATGCAGGTTTGGACACATAAATAACATTAGTCTTGAGTCAGATGCAAATGAATGGGCAAGTGAGACATTATAAGTTATTTGTTGTGGGTCGGCAAAGGGTTAAGGTAAGGGTCGATGCAAACCCACTCTTGAGAATTCCAGGCATTCACTCAAAAACACAAGTCAGGACAAATGTATTTACCGGGCAACGTCATTAGTTATGTATGGTCATTTACTCATATATTAAAAGTGTGCTCCCACATGACGTCAAAATGTCATAAGAAATACCAAAAAAACAAGCGGGAATCAACAATGAAATTGTATTGTTTATTGACTCCCCTTCAGATGCAGCATAATCAATACAGAATGGATCAGATTGGATCGCGTTGGACATTCTGGAGCCACCATCCAGTCCTCTAATGTGTAAGTACAATAAGCAGGTTGTTTTCATTTTGTGGTGAGATAACAACCTTGTCAGAGTTTAAGCAGCAGAATAGTTAGAAAACAATCCAACAAATTCCTTTTAGATGAGTAATTTCCTCATTGTATTACATTTCCAGCTGCTTCGGGGAAATGTTGCCGAGAGACAACCCCAGTGTGGCAAAGGGAATCTGAAGGAAACCACAAATGTTCCTAAACATTTCACAGGATTTTGCATGCATACCCGCAACACGGGGGTCACACTTAACATGGGTTTTATGGTCTGTCTTACGACTTTTCAATCTTTGTCCACTCTAGAAGCACGCTGACCATTGCCACTTGAGCGCCTCAAGTTCCACACATATCTGTATTGGTTACAGCTAAATGTCAACACACACTCGGATAGATCGCCTTACTCCGTGTACCAATTTTTTAAAGGGTTTTTAAAGCAGTGCATTTGTAGCTGTGTCAGCTGGCCTTAGAGTGGAACGGACAGTGTCCTCACTGATATATGGGACAGGCAGGTTCATGACTTAGAGACCTTGCAGGGCCTTCCAAGTTAGATTGAAATGAGGGAAACATATTAAAAACTTCTTATTTTCTGCCTTTTTTGTCATTCAATCATTTTTTTTCAGTTACTTAGAAATACTTTAAGTTTTTGAGACCCCTGGAAATCTGAAATTATTGAAGTGAAATGGCTAAAACTTAAATAATATTATAGTCATAGGGTGTCAGAAGTGGTTCTAAATGACAGCCACCAACTTGAAAAAGAATATTTTTTTTGTATGCATTTGCATTCTTCTTCATATCATGGCTTATTAAAAAAGCTACTGAGTCTGCAATGTCACCATATGAAGCACTGGAGGGAGACAGTCTTTTGTGTCCAAGGAAATGCACTAGTGTGAAACTGCTTACCCCAGCAGGAACTTATTGTTCACATTTTCCTATTATCAGTTTAATGAACTACATATCCTGAGCCAGAGGCAGATGGGATCAGTCAAACCCACTGTATAATCTTTATGGGTGTGTCCTTGGTTCATGTTTCTTCCAGCGGCCTCTCTCCCATATTGTGAGAGAGGAACGTGACTGAATGAGTGACAAACCAAAATGGCACGTCGTAGACCACATAAGGACAGAGCAGGTGTTATCTTATACATGGATGGATCACTGAATGGGTCAGAGGGCCCATCAGCAGACAACCTCTCTGTATCTCCAGTGTAAACTAACTACTGAAGCTCAGCTGTAGCTTTTCAACCAACAGCAGCGCCTGAGAATACTGCTTCACCTGCAGAAAGTCACTGAAAGAG